AGTTAAATGATTTTACTTGCAGAATTTGAGTATCATCATTCTCAAACCTTCCATGTTAGAAAGATGATGGGGGATGCAGAATCTATTTACATTTAACTGACAAATATATTCCTTTTTTCTAGAAAAAGCCAGTTTTCCCTCTCAAGAAATAGACTGGAAGTTCTATATTAAGTAACCCTCCAAATAGAAATAAGAAAAAATGAACAGATTTTTACTTTCATCGAGACAAAAAGTTAAATGTCTGAGAAATATTTGCTATTTGCAATAGCAAAATATATGTTTGTGTGTACATACAGTAACAAAATGACACTTAAAGCCAGTTGCAAAAAGGGTACCACACTCTTCCTATTTGCTCCTGAATGCACTCTATCCTAAATCAACAACATGCTGTTTTGTTACACTATCTCTTTTCTATCCAGAGGTAAGCATCATCTTAGCTACTTGCTTTGTTAACGCTTTCATGGAAGAAATACGCTAATGTAGGATTGGCCAAGTGATAAAAAGCACTGGCAGCTGAGTTTTTATAGACAACAGTAAGAATGCAAGCTTCTGAATTTACTTTCCCTTTCAAGACAATTACTTGGCAAAGTATCAAAGCTCAAATCCGTGTCTCAGATAGAAAACTGAGCAAGAATGACTTTCATAGTTGTGTCAGCTTCTATCACAGACCACATTGCTCTCTAGTGATAAGAGAGGCAACTGGAGAAATGTGATGCATATTTGAAATTGCTGTCAGGCAGCATAAAGCTTTGTGCTGAATTTACTTGAGAAATATCTGACTTTCAGCATTCCCATGCTTCTTAAACGACGATCCCTCCTGAAATTTTCCAGAATATATAAATACCAATTCATAAGGAACAGATAACTCTGTTGGATAAATTTTGTCTCCATTGATTTGGTTTCTGACTACAACCAACTCAAGCATGAGCAACAGACATTAGTACCTCTCTTTCAGTAGTTCAACTCCAGACAAATGCTCGACCTACACAATTTTTCTGGAGTGATATCCTGAATATAAAAAGACCAGAAGCCAGGTGACTTCAGGGCACAAGAGTTTCCAGGGGCATGTTCAAAGATTAATTCATTAAGATTTTGAGAAAATTATAGTGAATGAATACAGCACAGCTATCTTACACTGAAAAGAAATATACTCTAGCAATTGTTGGTAACAACAGACAACTTTTTTGCCTCTGTCTTCTCTTATAACTGCTTACGACACAACCCTCAAATGTTTGCTTTGATAGGAGGGGACTGGGGAAGCAACATCTCTCCCACTGCAAGCAAAGACCAGGCTCACAACCACAACCACCCACAAGTCTATAGGTCCCGATTACATGCATTCCAGAGTCCTAGGAGAATTGGCTGATGTGGTCACCAAGCCACACTCGACGATATTTGAAGTCATGGCAATCAGGTGAAATTCCTGGTGACTGGAAAAAAGATAACACCACACTGATTTTTAAGAAAGGTAAAAAGAATGACCCTGGGAACTATCGTCCCATCAGTCTCACCTCTGTGCCAGGAAAGATTACGGAGCAGATCTTCCTGAAAGCTAAACAGAGGCACAGAGAAGATAGAGAGGTGATATGGGAGAACCAGAATGGCTTCACTAAGGGCAAATCCCTTTTGACCAACCTGGTGGTCTTTTATGATGCTGCCACTGCATCAATGGACAAGAGAAGAGCCCTGGGCAACCTGATTTAGCTGTAAAGTTTCCTGTTCATTGCAGGGAACTTGGACTAGATGACCTTTAAAACATCCATTCCAACTATAAGGATAATATGATTCTATGATTCTGTATTACTGATGTAAAGTATTTGATATAAAACTATCATCCTTATTACTACATTTTATTACACTGAATCATCTTATGTCATGCCAAGACCCAGCAGCTGACTGTTTTTTTTGCTCATTGCTCAGGTGTCTTGTTCCAGGATTGTATTGAATTTTGTGCTACAAAGATGTTCACTCTAACTTTAAGGTCAGTGTATGGATTCTGCTGTAGCTTATGAGTTCAGAAAACACAGTTTGCAAATAGAAGCATATTCTATTAATAAATAAGGACCACAGAAAAATTAAGAAAAAATTATTTCCCTTTATCCTGCAAATTGGAATTCGTAAGATTTATTGAGCAAAATGAGGCTTCCAGATTTAATGTAAAGGAGGATAACTTTTCAGATGCATTTTCTAGTAACGAATGACTACAAGAATGAACAGAAATTTATCGCAAGGTGGAAAAATAATTTATTTAAAAATATATAAATACCATGAAGACGACCAATTACTCACTTAATCTGATCTATCTACCAGTAGCTACCAGATCATCACATTAATATTACAATGTGAGTGCCAGCATTGCTCTCTTAGCAATCTAATCAAAAGGAGTAGACAACAATTGAAAAAGACTATTAATTTTTGACCAGAGTTTCAGATTATGATAGAGATAAAAGAATATTTTGTATAATGTTCCTTTTAAAGTCGTTGGTTTTTTTTGTTTTGTTTTGTTTTTCAATCACCTGTAAACTTACCTTGATATTTGATTTTATTACTCTTCCTTATAAAAATTAACATTTTAATGAACATATTTCCTGCTATGGTACTCACCTACTTTCACCAGGATTTGTAATGCACATTTAGACATTGAAGATTCACTTTTTACTTCCAAGCTTTTTTAGTCACCAAACCTCAGACAATCAATTTCAGTGCTTTCACTGACAAAATTACGTGTTGCACATGACTTTTCTGGCACACAACTATTAAACAAACCATTGTGAATAACTGGAAATCGTGGTAGGATCTAATCAGAAGAAATAGACATTAAATCAAGCAAGAAGTCAACTGTAATTTCTTGGTAATCTCATTATGACCAATCTAAATCAGTTTCATAGCCATTTTCTTAAGGTCAATGAAGGTGAAAGACTATGGAAGCCTGAATTGAAATGTGATATAGAACTTCCAGTTTTATCTGTACTTTAACTGCTTGCTGGCTCTCAAAAAAGAGCTGTTTAGATTAATTGAAGAGCTCTGTTAAGGATACGGCATTTCAAGAGCCTGGAGAGAGTGTAGCCTGCATTGTCACATCTCAGTTTACAACACGCAGAAGTGTTCAGTACAAGTGAGAACAGCTTTGTGATTCCCAAATGAACAAGGAATAATTGCCCGGGAGCCCAAGGCAGCTGTAAAATGTCACTGTTAAAGCGGAATGCAATCTACCATTCTTGCCAAGAACTTTACAGAGAAATAAATACTGAAAAATCTTCTGCTTAATGTAAGCGCAGATGCCAGACTAACCAGTTACTAACATCTTCACAGAATATCCACACTCCAGACAATGGAAAGTTACTTGAAAGTCCACTAAAATAAATTCTAACAAATACCATGAGAATCTTCTTACTTTAAAACTTAAAATCTTTCCCAACAAATTCCAGTTTGTTGCTCAGAAATCACTTAGCGTTGCTTCACAGAACTCTATAAATAATGTAAATAGGTCGGAAAAAAATGCTGCTACTTTATACAGCTTTCCTCTACACTCCTACAATAAAAAAATTATTCTCCACGCAACTACAAAACAATTTTATCATTTCTGAATTTAGGATGCTACTGAACTTCATCAAATTACCTCTTCTGAGCATCTCAGTTTTACAGAGACTGCCAAACTTTTGCTTTCCAAACTCACTGTCCTTACTGTCCATCAGCTGCTGCTAATACAGTAGTTCCAGGCTGCTGCACAGTCTTATATCCATATTTCAGCTCTTTCTTCTGTGTAGCAGCTTCTGCTGACTTTACACTATATGCTGCATAAAGCTGACTGCTGTCACCCATATCTGCAGGAAAGCTTTCAGAAAATTAAGCATGTCATCTTCTTACTTGGAACTCCATTCTGGCCGAATCTAAAACCCAAATGGACTCAAATAAAAAATTTTTTAGAGACGCTACCGCACTTCGCATTGTCCCCCTTTCATTGTGTAATGACTTACTGATTTCATAAAATTGAAAGCATCATTCTTACTCCCATTAGAAACCAGACAGAGAAAAACTGAAGAGCAACTCTGGTGCCAAGGATCTGTATAACTGAAGTTAACAGGAACAAGATTGCTAAGTATTTCTTAGGGGACCTCCTGGTGCGATCGACCACTCAGCCCACGCTCAAGTATGAAGCACAGCTGCAGTTCAGAAGGCTATCTCTGCCATAGCACAAAAGTTTGTAAAATTTATCACAAATAATAAATATACTTAAAAGAATAAATCTGAACAGTGAAAGCTAGCTTTGCAATACAACTTGAAGACACATGTTAACACTGATCTCAAAATACAAGCAAGTTTCAAAGGAAATACAGAAAATAGTGCATCCCTAACACATACAATTTTTTTTTTTTTTAATGATGTGGTTTTTTTCCATTCTTGGAAGAAAAACATCATTTACCATTTTACTATTATCACTTTTTAGACATTTCCCAACTTCAGCATAAAAATCTCCACATTCTCCAACTATATCATATGCAAAACCTTACTATGGACTCAGCCCTTTTCGAAATCCTAATGTCACAGAGTGGATAAAGAAAGAAACAGGATATCCAAGTAAAATATACAAAGATAGGAAGAAAATTGTTTATAAAATGGCAAGTAGTGTCCTGACATATACAATATTCTCATTGTTTTTTCCTTTGCCATAAGTTTTCTGACACTTCTTTTTGTGGTTTGGGTTTTTTTTCTCTCTCTTTTTTTTTTTTTTTTTTGTCTTTTTTTTTTTTTTTTGTCTTGCTTGCTGATTTGTTCATTAGCTTTGTCTATCGCTATGGCAAAGGCAAATATCCTTTGGAAGGAAGGCCATCTTCCCTCCTCCACACTTCCTTTGGGACAGAAAAGAATGAACATCAGTTTACTGCACCTGGACAGAAAGACCCATAGGTCTCAGACTATATCACACTCTGGCAAAATTGCCTGAGGAGCAGATTGTTTGCCACATCAGCAGTACTTACCATTGCTCTACTTACACGGAGTAATAGTCAACAGCGGATGCTGAAGACTGCACATAAAAGGCCAAGTTTATCATTCAGTGCTTCAAATAATTTCCTTATTCACACAGGATATCATGTACCGTTACTTGAGATATGACTTCCTTCTTTAGGTTGTGTTATTTTATTGCAAATATTCTTCCTTCAACAGTGGGGGGGGAAGGGGGGGAAAGAAAAAAAAAAAGAAAAAACCTAGGCAAAAAAGAAAATTATAGGAAGAGTGGTAAACATAAGAGCATATGTATTTGTGGAAAAAAAGAAAGAAAAAAAAAATCCAGTATTTTATCTTTTAAAAAAAAAAAAAAAAGAAGTTTCTTGAAAGTTTCCCAACTAAAATGTACCATGTAGTCATAGAGCATTATTACATGAAATCAAAACACAATTAATACAAGGAAATGCGAAGCTCTTGACTGGAAATGAGATGAATGCTCACTGATAAAGGCATAATGCATGCTACTCTTCAGATAAGAAAAATAATCTTCCTCATTTCACCTATGCTGTGATATTCATAACATTGAAACCTAATGTTTATGAGAATCTACAGGATAAAATACTTGTCATGAAACAACTGTGGGCTTTCTTGCTGTGCTTTCCTTTTGTTTACTTAACATACATACACTACATTTAGCAGCAGGATTTAGAACAGTTTTATTGAATTTGAATAACTGTGAGAGCTCCCATGCAGATGCCAACAAGTAAACAGATATACTGCAAATATCCTACACTTAGGTGTTTATATCTGCAGTTTGATCCTATCATGTTATATCCCTTTGCAAAGATTTTCTTTCCCCCTTACAGTATGCCCTTACTATAAGCCCTGCCCTAATATTGTAAAAATGTTCTGTATTATGTGAGACTTACACAGATGTTAATGTTTAAGTCACACATGTACTGAATAATAATATACTAAAATATATATACACCTAAATCTTCAAATATTGTAATTTCTTCTGGAGTAAGTTTTTACTTAATGATTTACATCTATACTACTGACTTTCTACCTCCCATAAGTTATCTTCTACTAAAGCTACATAAAATATAAATGATTAATTTCCTAGTGTCACAGTAAGTGCTAGGTCTGTGTTTATTTTTTCACCATTAAGAAATTATACAGGAAGAAAGAGGAACTCAGGTCACTACAACAATGAGTTCATTGGTCCTGTTCCTCTAAGACAAGAAATTTATAGTTGAAATTACCTCAGATTCACTGAATTGTATGCTCATTTATAAATATGTTTTTTTCACTTCACTGGTGAGTGCCAGTGTCATCAGCTTGTAGGTGTGTATGCAAATGGAGTCTGTGCTGTTTCCAATGGAAACTCCCTGTTTGTCTTTGCTCAGTGGAAACATATGTCTCTGTTCATGTTGGGATTAAAATACTCACCATACATGAACTAAACCAAAAAACAAAAGACCCACCTTTAAACAATAAGAAAACAATATGACATTCCAATTTTTACTGGAATCCTTCTAAACAACTAAAATGCCGAACCAATGTACCGACACATTGAATTTTGCCAGTATTCAGAAGTATTATATCAGATACAGGGCAAATAACCCCCATACAAAAGTAAATAGGCAGCTCAATCTCAATATCAATTTTTCTAAAAGAAATTGTTAGAAGAATATTTTCAATTACATAAAATAATAATTCATGCATATCTTGCTTTGACTTCGACATAATTGTTGTGTATGTACCTGTAAGAGGCATGTAAGCAATTGATTTTTTTTCCCCGTGTAAGGCATTTTAGTCTCTGTCATGCTGTTATTCATTTTGGGAGTTCACATTCTAGCCAATTAATAATAATGGATATAGTACTCATTCAGAAAAAAAATAAAGGCAATCAAGACATAATGCCATTTTTGTATTTCCTTCTCTACAGAGAAACACATAATCACAGTGATTAGGCCATACAAATATTCAGGAGATTTTCTTCACGTGAGTCCTGTAAAGTTATTGGCAAGGATCATCACTTGCTGTTGAATTTTTTCTTTTGTTTTTTTTTGGACCATTTCAAAGAAGATAAAGCCTTCCCTTCCTCTGGAAGAACTGCAGAATTGTGAATGACTGCCAAGAGAAACAGACTTTGCTGGGAAAAAAATAATGTTAAAACAATGCAACAGGTCATTGGAAGTTTCCCTCCAATATTTCTTAAACGGAACCATTTGAGAAGGCCAGGGAGGTAATTTTTTCACTTGAAGTAATAAAGAACAAATAAGATTTAAATTGACTTTTAAAAGGAAAAATATTGTTAGGACAGTTGGAAACTAAATACTATTACACAGCAGAGGGCTGCTACAATCTGTTCTCCTAATTCATGAAATATGTCACTTTAGTCAGCTTTACTCTGCGTCCCTAACTGAACAAAAATCTTCCAGGCCTAATATAACTGAAGTAACAGTAGTAGAAAATGATTGGGGACAGCCGTAAGTACATGCAGTATATCTGGTATTACATGCAATATATCTGGTACTATTCCACAGCATGAGCTTCAGGAATTAAAAATGAACTGTTTCATGTGAAACACAATGAGAAAAATAGGTTTTAGTAAAATACATGCATGACACTTGTTAACAAAACATATGGAAAAAATTCCACATTCTGCAAGATCTCATACATTTCAAGACTCCATACTATGCCATAGTACATGGAATGGAGCAGTTCCTAAGAATTTCTTTAAGTTTCTTAGTTAGAAGAATGCCACATATGGGGGCAAGTCAACTTGCTGTCATGCTGCATTCACAAAGAGATTGCTCATGCATTCCTTTGCAATTATTATTTACACATAAGTCTAAGTAATGTATAGTCAATGCCCAGAAGAACAATTTTAGTCCTGGCTTTTTGTACAGCTTTTTTGAGCAACATGTTTTTCATCTTTCTTGAAAACATTTTTCCAAGTAACTCACTTAATGTAATTTCCAAGTTTTTGTTTAATTTTGATGTCTGCTTCAAAAATGTTAAAAGTATGTTTGTTATATCAACATCAGCAAAATATTAAAATATTGAGGAAGAAAGACATAGAACTTCAAATGTCTATGTGACAGTCATTGAAGCAGAGGCATCTCAAAGAACCATGTCAAAGAACAGTAGATGCTTTCAGAGTCCCCACTCTGAACCAGCTCCCTGTTTTCCAAGGCTTCAACAACTGATAAATACTAGAGGGCTTGCCTTCATGAAATTCATCTTATTACAGGCTACGCCATGTTTATAAACTCTTTCAATCACTGAAATTAAGCTGCCATGCAGCTATGAATTCTATGCAAATTGACCATTGCGTACACACCAGATCAGAAGCTGATATGAACTTACCAGAACAAAAGAGCTGTCTTCTCATTTCCACTGCATAGCATTCCAAACTTCTGAGATTAAAAGAAAAAAAAAATAATCATTAAATTGAACTCGTTTCCTAGCTATTGATGAGTATGTTCATTCAGATGTAAAGTTAGCATTTGACTTCCAACATGCTCATTAAAACCTTACAGGTGTATTTACGGAAACACAGCCTCATAAGATAACAGCAATTAGTCATGGATCAAGTACTGGTAATAAAAATGGAAGTGCTTTGTACTTCCAAACTTGATCTAGCGAATATGACTACTGCTAAAAAAACTGTTTCATAGAAACTCCCACAGCAACAGCTATATGTAGAAACAACAAAAAAAAAATTACATATTCAAATTCTGCACTGACACGACTTGTTAAAACAAAATCTGTCTCATGGTCCCTTCCAAAGTACATCTCTTGTTTTAGTCCATTTTCTCTCTCTGGTAAAGAGAGAATGACTCAGGTTTTTATGAAACCAAGAGAACAGACACTTTTTCCAAAGTTTTTAGGAAGTACTACCTTTCCCAGGTTTTGTCTAAGCTCTCAGGATAATTTTCAATGGTCTCAGAAATTTCTTTGGGTAAAATAAAAATGTTTAAGATAATTGTTCTCAATATGTTTCAAACTCTATAATCTTTCAATTTTATTTTTGCATTTCTTTTCAAAGTCCTCACACAATGGTTTTCAAAATGCAGCCTCAAATAGCAGGAAATTTCATTAGGCCTATGCTGCTTTATACTTTAATCACTGACTCATAGACTGGTTTATGTTGGAAAGAACCTTAAAGAACATCTAGTTCCAAACACTCTGCCACAGGCAGATTTGCCAACCACTATATTAGGCTGCCCAAGGTCCTATCCAAACTGACCTTGAATGTCTTTAGCATCCACAACCTCTCTGGACAACCTGTTCCATCACCTCACCACCCTCAGAGTAAAATGTTTCTTTCTAATATCTAACCTAAATCTCCCCTCTTAATTTAAAGTCCTTCTCGCTTGTCCTATCACTGTCAGGCCATGTAAAGAGTCGGACTCTTTCCTGCTTCTAAGTTCCCTTCAAGTACTGGAAGGGCACAATGAGGTCTCCCCGGAGCCTTCTCTTCTCCAAGCTAAACAAGCCCAACTTCCTCAACCTTTCTTCACAGGAGAGGTGCTCCAGCCCTTTGATCATCCCTGCGGCCCTCCTCCTGACCTGCTCCAACAGCTCCGCATTCTTCCTGCATGAGGGTCCGCAGGCTTGGACTCCACATGGGGCCTTACAAAGGCAGAGTAGAGGGAGCAATCACCTCCCTCTCCCTGCTGGCCACCCCTCTTTTGATGCAGCCCAGGGTACCGCTGGCCTTCTGGCTGCAAGAGCACACTGCTGGCTCATATTCAGCTTTTTTTCCCAACAGGATTCCCAAGTCTTCTTCATAGGGCTGCTCTAAACAAGTTTTTCTCAAAGTCTGTATACAATCTGGGATTGTCTTGTTAAACCTCATTAGATTCTCATGTGCTCACTTTTCAAGTGTCCAGGTCCCCATGGATGGTGTCCATCCTTCCTATTGGGTCAACTGCACCACTCAGCTTGGCATCAACAGCAAACTTGCTGGGGGTACACTCAATTCCACTGCCTGTGTTATTGATAACAATGCTGAAGAGCACCAGTCCTGAGACTGATCTTCGAGGGGACTCATGACCATTCATGACCAGACTACTTGGAAGCAGAGCCACTGACAAAACCTCTGGCTACATAAACCCAGCCAACTAATTATCCACCTAATAGTCCAGCTTTCAAATCCACATATCTCCAATTTAGACATAAGGATGTGGTGCAAGTCCATGTCGAAGGCTTGGCACAAGTCCAGGTAGATGACATCAGTTGCCCTTTGCTTTTCCACAGACGCAGTCACTCCATCACAGAAGGCCACCAGATTGGTCAGGCATGATCTGCTTTTAGTGAAGCTGTGCTGGCTGTTCCAGATCACCTCCACATCTTGCCTTAACAACTCTCTCAGGAGGATCTGCTCCATGATTTTCCAAGGCACAGACATGAGGTTCAACCAGCCTGCAGTCCCCTGAGTCTTACTTTCTCCCTTTCTTTAAGGGAGTGATGCTTCCCTTTTTCCAGCCAAAGGGGACTTTGCCTGACTGCTATGATTTTTCAAATATGATGGAGAGTGGCTTGGCAACTACATCAGCCAGTTCCTTCACAACACAGGGACACGTGGCACCTGGCCCTACAGACTTGTACACATTCAGCCTCATAAGGTGGTCTTGGCCTTGCTCCACTCTTACACTGGGAGGGATTTTTCTCCCGTGACTCTCACTTAGATGCTCAGGGACATGAAAGGTGTGAGAAGCTGGACTGTCCATGAAGACTGAGCCAAAGAACTTAAGTACCTCAGCCTTCTCCATGTCCATTGGAGGCCGGCTCTCCCTCTCATTTATCAGAGCAGCTACACTATCCTTTGCCTGCCTCTTCTGCCTTATGTATCTAAAGAATCGCTTCTTTTTTTTCCACATCTCTTGCCATGTTCAATTCCATCCACACCTTGGCTTTCCTCACTCCACTCCTGCATATCTGGACAGGATCCCTATATTCTTCCCAGAACACACATCCCCATCTACTAGTGACGATCTAAAGATAAATAAGTTGATTAAATTTGATTCAAATATATAAATCCTAATCTGCCCCTGTTTACTGTCTAATTTAGAGTACAAGAATTCAAGCAGGTTGATGGGAATTACTGTATTTTTCCCTATGGAAGCTTTTTGGCTTTGAGAAACTATCAATAAACACTATTTTGAAAGCATCTTAATAAATCTGCTGAATTTTATGTTTTTAGTGCTACCATTTTCCTTAGTAATCATTTTGGATCACCTTCTAAATAAAATCTGATAGTTCTCAGCATCACATTTCATATTTTCTGAAAGTTTTAGATATATTTTCTAGCTTTGAGTCATTATCTTTCTGTATGCATATGAATGCCTGTATACATAAGCATTTTACAAGTACAGTTGAAAACACAACTTCTCGAGCCTGCTTATATTAGTTTTTAAAAGACATAGTCAGTATTTCATCAAATTCTACATAAAATACACTGGTATTATCAAAGTCCCTTCTGGATTAAGATGTTCTTGAAAACACACGTCTGCAAATTTTAACCTGTTTTTATTTAAAACAAACCAACAATCTTACAAAAAGATAGCTACAAAGTGAAATATACCCCTGGGAAGAGGGGTGTCCCTCTGCAAAGTAGTTTTTCAACACTGCAATGGCAAACGCCCCAATTTGATTTGGCAAGTTTAAAATTGGGGAAGCCCTGTTTGAAAAGTACTTGAAAGATCTACTTCTCACATGCATATACTTCTCCATATACACAAAATTGTTCTCAAGCTCAAAGGAACTTCTTCACTACCACTTCCTTCTTGACTTATCACATGCCTCAGCAGCCTCTGGTTCCCAGCAAATGCACTTTTGTCAAAGGAAACAGCAATAAGCTAAAATGATAAAGGCAAGTTGTCATTCTATCCTTAGCAAGTCTGTGTAATACCAAATCTTGGCTATTCTCTTTTGATATAACATTTTTAAGAGCTAACATTTACACTCACACTTCTGAACGTTTCTTGCAGAAGAGTCGCTACAGGTATCTGGGCTCTCATCTTTAAAATTTCCTTTCGTTCATCAGGAAGTTAATAGTTATTCAAAACCTCTTCTTGCTGGTATTTAATTCTTCACCTCATTTTCAGCATTGCAGTTTGACTACCTTTCTCCTTAATTATGAAGCCATCTGCAACTTCTTATACTAGTGTTTCAGCACATTCCATTTGCATATTTATTTTCTCTAAATTCTGCCAAACTTGTTTTTTAATTTAATGATCATTTTTTACACCAGTCTCACAATTTCTGCTAGCATAACTGATCTTGTGTCTTTTTCCAGTCCTTTCAAGATCACAGAAACAACACCCTTGTTTCTTTTCCAGTGTGCCTTACCAGAAGTAAGCTTCCAAAATTTTGAATTGCAGCTCATCTCCTACTCAGCTTGATGAAAATCTCTCTTTCTCCTTTGTAAAATTTTCCTCACTTATACTTGAAGTGTTAGCAAAACCACTCAGCTGTCTACTTTTTCATAAGCCATTAATGGTCCAAGCTGCTATTGATGTATCTGGAAGACTTCCAATGGGTACAAATAGTAAAGTAACTATATTTCGTAGCATAGCATTGGAGGGTATTTAACCTTTTTACATTTATTATAACTTCCAGTACTGAATTCTCAAACTCTTCGCTTCCAAATTCTTCCCAAATTTAGTCTTAAATTACTCACCAGTATTGCGTAAACATGCTATTGTTCTCTTCCTGCTGAGTTCCTCCTGTCATTCCAGCTACTTCATTAGCACAAAAATAGTATAGTTAAGTTGATTAAGATTTCCTACTATTCTTTCTTTCAGTAATCTTGTTGGAAATGCCCTCCCAACTGAGACAGAAAACTGGAACCAAAAAAAATCTAAGACACCGAGTATGAAAACTTCTATAGAAGAACAAAAAAAACCACGAAAGAAGGAAGGAGAGAACAAGGAAAGAAAAAGAACAAATAAAATCAGTGAAGGAATTAGTTTCATTTTATTACATACTAAAGGCTCATATACACCTAAAGAGCTTTGTGAGAAGTCAATGGTATCACTAAGCAAGTCTACATGAGGTTATAAAAATGCTGTAAAACACTCCTCTCAGTTGTTGGAGCATTAAATAATGAAGTCACAGATTCTCAGTAACTTACAGGCTTGCTGCAAAAAATTTTAGCTAGCTTTTTACTAAACCAATCACATCTTAATAATTCTGAACATATGTTTTGATCGTATGAACTAAGAGCAGACAAATATTTACTGAGGTTTGAAACTGGGAACACCCTTGCAGAAGTGAGGAAAAGAAAATCATCACTTCTTCACTCCACTACTGCGTTATAAATTTACTTACATAAAACTAACATCAGAGTCACAGATGAAGTGGAATGTTTAGAAATACAGAGAAATGAATTTCTGATGTTTTGTGGAGATAAACAGAAGTTTACAGAAGGGGCCTGTATTATTCCAAAAATCCAAAAATAATTTAACTATTCTTTCCCAGTAAAAAAACCTAATCTCTTTGAGATGTTCATCCCTTCCATAGTGTCAGAATTTTTCTTTTATTTATCAAGAATACAGTAAGACTGAAAGAAAATGGCCAGGCTATCACCTGCCTCATCCAAACGCTGCAGACAGCAGAGCAGACACGTGGAGGTGAGGCTCATTCTCCAGCTTGTTCTACTGATGAGGGAACATTCTCTTCTTTTTTCCTTAGGTCTCACCTGTGTTGGAGTAAAGCTGTTTGTAGATGCTTGGACTTACAAAAGAAATACTGTAGTTCAGAGCACGAAACCACTCAGAGCTTAGACTTGAGGAGAAAACAGAAAGAGTGTGAAACACAAGTGAGTAACAAGTGGGAACTTTGAGGCCCTGGAAAGAAGGCTGCTGCTCATAGGAAGGCGTCTTCCAGGTAGTTGAGGAAGCTGTGGCTGATTTCAGAGCTGTAAAGAAAACAGATGCTTGGACAGACAGACTGGAGACATTTGCATACAAGCTATTACTACAGCCAGCAAAATTAAGTTTCAATGGAAGATGTAAAGAAAGACATTCCACAAAGTGTCTCTTTATCTACAGTTGCAGTAGTAGACTCGAAGGCTGCATCCAAAACAGGCAAGCAGAAAACTAGTTTTCAGCTCTTACTCTTCTCTGCAGCCTGGCTCCCTCCAGAAGTAACCTGGAAGACAAGGCATAGCTGAATGATTGCAACTGTGTTAAAGTATCCATGGAAATACTGAGTACCATTGGGAACCTCTAATTTTCAAAGGAAATAAAAATATATCAAATATTGACAGAGTATTGAAAGAAAACAAATAAAATAAAAATATAATGCAACACAATTTGGCATCTTCCAGAAATGTTAAACAAACAAACAAAAAAAAATTAACAGAAGGAGGCTTTTAAGCAGAAAAGTGATTTTTAAAAGTTGCTACTGCAATATAGTTGCATTTACAATGACCAGTGCTCAGAATCAGTAAGTAGAAGAATACTACTCCAACTAAGGAGCCACTTCAACACCCCATCTACTACAGTGTTACATATTTATAACACATTCCTACTATCAATCACAGTGCTTTCATAATAATTAGTAATTGCTCAAACTCACAGCAATTAACACTCTTTTGAAACATTAGCATTTTCATGTACTCTCTCAGTCTTTATGCAAGAAGGCTCACAAAGCCACACTTCTGTTTCACAGGCCCCTGCTTGGATTTCCTCCAAATAGGCAGCATTCAAAATGTAACCATCCTACTATTTGTATTTTATAAATATGTTGCTGTTTCCCCTTCCAATATGCTGCTTTGACAAACAATCTTGTGGATAAATTTGTGCAAGGACAGTGAGCTAAAATGAGAAGCTTTCAATGCAAAGTAAGCAATTTAAAAGCATAGCAATTTTTAAATTTTTTTTTTTTTTTTTTTTTTTTTTTTGCATTCTCACAGTTGTAAAATGCACTGAATTTATCAGCTCTTGTTCAATTCTGTTCACCTATAACACTAAATTAAAAAAAACCAACACGTGGGATTTCTTGCTGAGTGTACTTTTTAGGGTAGTTGCTGCAATCCAAAATTAGTACTTTGTTTAGCATCAGCAGTTTCTCAAAAACAAATACAAAGTTGACAGTTATTTTTAAGAATTTGCTGCATGACATGTTTATTAAATATAAATAATACCAACAAACATGAAGGAGATGCACTATGTACAGTGTTACAGGAAACAGAAATCAGAACAAGGAGACTTTCCTATCACCAATAACTAGACATAGGACCTCTATTGTCTATTTAAAACATAGGGAAGAGTCTGCTTCCTGTCACCATGCATGTATTTTGCTCCATATACAACACGACCCTTGACTTACAGTAGGCATTAGAGAACTTCTGGGCTTCCATTCAGTTGATCCATTTGAGACTGAACCTGCAGAAGGTTCAGCCAATGTCAGCACTACTTTAAAACAATTTGAAACACCAGAAAAAAAAAAGAAAGAAAAACTCTGAGTTTCCTTGAGTTCTTGGAGGAAAGCATTTGAATGACAGAAAAAGAAAATAACAGAAGTATTGTTAGGTCAGACTGTACTCTGCAAATGGCCCTTCTTATTGCTGAGTCAGCACAGCACAAAACTTACAGCTATATATATATACTAGCACTATTGCATTCCTTACTGCCTCTGAAGGCTTGAACCTGAAGTCAGTTCTCAAACGGCATTGCACAGAACAGTCTCCTTGAAGGAGAAAACTGTGATTCCCATAGGATTAAAAAGAAATCCAAAAAATCAATAATGGTCTTTAACAAATTAGCAGTATTTAATTAAGAACAAGACTCACAATCTGCCATGTGTTAATGAACACTGGAGGAATTATATCAATCACCATAGGATGCTCATGTGCCTGTGCAAGTGATGGCAGTTCAATTCAGTGCAAACACTGGGCAAAGCAGGAAGTTTGTGGGGTTTCAAGAAGGTACTCACAAGAACTGGTGTTTTTCACATGTTATTGGCAGAAGGAAAAGATTTTGTAATCCGTTATAATCTATTCTGAATTTTCTTCCTAAATCCCTCCAGTTAGCCATTTCAGAAGACATCAGTTTTCCTCCTAAAACTTCAATATGACCTCCTAGTACACTAATAGTAAGCACAGGGGCTAAAACAAACTGAATCATCAGATACACAATAGAGTAGGCACTGGTAAATTCACTGGATTTTTAAATGGGAGGAAGATCTCAGAAATGGTTCTTCTGGAATTCATTTCACTTTATTTATTTATTCATTTCACTTTATTTATTTATTTTAAAGCAAAGTGCCACACTTGAAGCAATGGACTTTGGTCTCCGCTAGCCCAAGGGAAAGCTATTCAAGAACACATTTGCTCTCATAGCCTGGTTCTTCAAACTTCCAAACTCACAGCCAATGAATATGGATCTGCTTCTCTGCAGGCTTCCTACAAACTAACCCATTTCCTACACCTTCTGTTTACAGATGATTCTCTCCTGTTAAGCCTCCCCTGAAGCATCTCTTATGAAATTCCTTCCTGTGGCCTCCCCGCATTCATTTCGGTTACATCTACCACCTCAGTTTCACTCAAAAGGTGATTTGTTCTTCTGTTCCTTCCAACTCCATTTTGTTGTCTTCAGTCTTATTCCTCAGCACCATTGCTCTTCAAGCTGGTAGTCTTTGGTATTATTTGTAGAAAAGCTTACAATTGTGTACAGGTTAAAATTCTGTCATTCTATTAAGCCTTTCACTTCATCTTCCTTGTCCTTTTTATAGGCTCCCTTGAAGTTCCTCAAGGGCCTTCCTACCACTGACTAACTTCAAAGCATTTCTGGCACTTCCAAATCTGTTATGCAGCTTTCCACACCTTTACTATCACTGAAGGGACAGTACAATATCCCATGGCTAACTTCTGCCATGATAAAATACTACATCAGCCATTTGTTGCATGTTTTGTTACGGGTGCATGTTATGTTTGCACATTAACTACTGAATTCCTTAAAGTAAAAAAACAAATAAGTAAGCAAGTAAGCAAACAAAAAAAGCCCTAACAAAAACAAAACAACAAGAACAACAAAACCCACAACCTTTTCCTATAGCAGAACTCAGTTCAAACACAGCAATTTCTCAGTGCTGGCCCCCTCACTGCTGATCAAAATAATAGTGTTGACAAAGCCTGGAGGCTGGCTTCACTACAAACTCAAAGGTATCTGGCTGCCTGGATGTTATTTATTTTCAACTGCTGAGACTCCCTCTAAGCTCAAAATTAAATAAGACCTCCTCAGATTTCCAGAGCTTAGGGATATTTTTGTTTAAGTGTTTTGATTTTTGTAACAACTTTGGCATTCTTACTGCCCAACTGTACCCCTAAATACCAATCAGAGGCAAAGTAGCGGTAAAGAGGTCAAAGCTCTGCTTGGCCTTAGAATTTTAATGAAAAATTTACTAATATATTCTTGTCTGACTAATAAAAGTATAAATGGAGGAACAATGTGCATTTGCTAACTAAAAATGACTGCAACTTAATTTTGAAATTGTTCTATAAATAGTGAAAAGAATGAACAAATGAAAGTGAAAATATATGTATATAAAGATAAATTAATGATTGTCCCATGGTAACTACTCCAGATATTTACTTGTACAACATTTATAATTAGCAATGGAGGTCTCTGTATCTCCATTCTTAAAAATTCAAAGGAAAGTTTTATAAGTGGATCTGGATTTAATTTTTTCCCCTTCAACTTCCCAGACCACATCAGATGTCTTTCCTTAACTGCACAATGCAGCACACAGTTTACCTTCTTTCATACCTACTCGCATCTTTGAGCAGAAGCATTTGCTTAAAATAAATAAGCATAAGGAATGCCATGAGAATGGTGCTCAACATATTTCTCGCAGTTTT